AAAAAAAACTGATTTCTTTCTTTTGGATCCTTCGGTCCTTCCTGTACATCAGTGCAGCAGCAACTGATGAGGAACGCGAACCACGTTGAAGCAACCAGATCTGCAGTTGTTGCCACGCTCTTAGACGGCACTGTCATAACCCGGTGCTGCTTGGAGGAAGGTGGAGATGCATCTATGGTGCAATATGAGTTAAGAAATGTGGAACATGTTGAAAGCACTGGGCAATGGAAATGCATTCGCAGCTCGCTTGGTAGATGGCTCTGTCGTAACCTGAGACCAAGTCAGCGGAGAGGACAGTTCGCATGTGCAGCACCAGCTTCAAAACGTGGACGCCATCTACAGTACATATGTGGCCTTTGCTTCCGTCTTGTCGAATGGTTCCTGTCGTGACGTGGGGCAATGCGTTTTCTGGTGGTGACACTTCTGTTGTTCAGCATCAACTTCGAAGCGTTCAGCAACTCAGCAACTGCATGCAACTAGTTATGCGTTCGCAGTCATCTTGCCCCACATCGCGACCTGGGGTGAGCCCAGCTCTGGCGGCAACAGCACCTCGTGCAAGAACAGATTTGTTCTTGTGTGAATTGTGTGACCGAAGGTTGTTCGAAGCACGGTCACGGCTTGAGCCGCTAACTTGGAGCATAGCATAGCTCTTCTCCGCTGAAAAAATTTTTGGCGCGACGACGCTCTGACTTGTAGATACGACTTCTGCGACTTCATTCTGCACGCATAGCATGGGAGCTGCAGAATAGTGCCTTGATGTCGCATGTCTTGCTCTGCAAAACTTTGCAAGGACATGCGTCTGTTGTTCTCCTTGCTTCCGCCTTCCAGGTCGAAGATGCATGGCTGCGGCAAAAATGCCGCAAACCATTGCTGCTGAGCGGTTCTTAGTTCCATCATGCCTTTAGTGTGTAGAAACAATCGCGGTTTTGTTGGCCATGCTGGCAGCAAGCCCCCTGTTTGCAAACAAAGCTGTTTGCAAGTTCCGCTTGAGCTTCATTTCCTGTGTTGCGGCCAAGATGCCACGCCAGTGGCCAACCTACTTCTTGACGCCGTCTTCTTGCGTCTCAAATCGCAAATTCTTGGCGTCATCTCCGTCACCTGCTTACACGGAATGAGGAGCTACAGATACACATATTCTAGAACAGCTACATTATCACTCATCGTACGTTCGTTCATCATTAGTCATCAACAACATCACTCATCATTCAGTATCATTCATCATCGTTCATCTTCATTCATCTTTAAATCTTCGAGCCCACCCTGTTTTGATCTACCCCCCCTGCTTTTCTTTCGGGCCACACACTGTTGTCTCGTTATTTGAACTGGTTGCGGCTACGCAGTTGTTTAATGTGGACATGTTCATCTTCCAAGACGCTTCCTGATGAAAAAACAGGCGGGTTGAAAAATTTTTCAAAAGTTTTTTGGTTCTTGCCTGTCTGCGGGTCGAAATGTTCTTTGCTTTTGCGAAGTGGCGGATCAACATCGTTTCCGGCAAAGATGATTGCATACGTTTTTTTCCAAGCAAACAGGATGGTGATTTTTTGCAAGACTAAATTAAGTTTTACTTTTGGGTATACATAAATGTTGCACGTGTGCGAAATTTGTTGTGGTTGTTTTTGATTGACCTTGGTTACCGTGTATGACCCGCTTACTTTTGGATTTTTTGAGTGTTTTTGTCGCTCACGGTCAGACCGTCACGTTTTTCCCCACCTGCCAGGTGAGGGTCTCTAGAATTTATCCGGGTTGCTTCCGCTTCCTCCTTCTCCTCCAGCAGCCTTGGGCTCAGCCCTGAACTGCGAGTGGGCACTGCCGGACTTCAACCGCGAGCTCCGGGCACTGCTGGACTTCAACCGCAAGTGCCAGATCTCCGACTGCCGGACCCCAACCGCGAGTGCGAGAGGTCAGATAGAATGCCACAAAGAATACCCAAGAGAATGTGAGAATATACGTCAGATAACATGCGAGATAGAATGCCAGAATATGTGTCAGATAAAATATCAGTTGATGGGGATCACTCGAAGAAAGTAATTTGATTCTGTCTTTGGTACCGGTTCTATACCCCCACCTTTTCTGCGGCCCAGACAGAGTTCGTTGATTTTTGGTTTTGCTCGGGTTTTTGGGGTCTGTAGCAGCCTAGATGCTTGGTATGTTGACGGGCCGGTTACTTCCCGTACCAATTTGGTGGGCCTTCCACCCCATAGAGATGAAATATTTGCGTCGTGATATTGATGGGGACGTGCCCATAAATCACCGGCTTGCAGGTGGCGCGCGAAGACGCGTGATGGTTCATGGCAGCTTGTGGACAAGCCGGCGCTTTTGGCCCTTGGCGAGGATGGAGATGAGATGACGGCCTTCAACGTGGCTAGGTCGAAGGGGCAGAAGATGCATGTGGAGTTTTTGATGAAATCCGGGGCCGAAAGCTTCAAGAACATCGGAACTCTCTATGCAACATGCAAACCATATCATCACATTAACATGAAGATGGCTATGTTCTCCCAAGATAACGTGCACCTCGTCAAGGGGCAGCTTGGACCGCACGGTAACAAAACTGGTCGCGGGTATCGCAACGACCGCCTGCCTGCGGCCAGCTTGTTGGAGACTATGGGGCAGGAGTTGAGTATGGACCAAGATTTCCTGACCAAGAAAGATTGGACCGAATTAGGTGGCAGTGCCAGCGCCAATGCCTATTTGAAGCAGGTTGACGAAGAGGGGGTTGCTCTGTTGCAGAGCTGTTCCAAAGAAGCCGCAGGTGCAGCAAGGGCAACTTGCTCCAAATTTTTGGGCAGCCCCCCAGGTCCGCAAGAGAGCTTGACGGGCCGCGCTGCTACCTTGAGGGAAACCTTCGAAGATTGCGTGTTTGATGTCTGCGCCGGTGGGGGTGAAGCGGCGGCGGAACTTGCAGCAGAGATTATGAACGCTTTCTGAGGGACCCCTTTCTGATGCCGCGCCCTGGCATCAGGAAAATTTTCTGAGTTGCAAAGGCAATTCCAGATTTGCGCAGGCAACTGCAATTTTAACTATTAATCAGCAGTTTGCCTATGCTATAATTTGAACCCCTAGTAGGAGCCGAAGAACTACTAACTACTAGGAACTTCAGCTTTGCAATGGCCAAAATGTGCGTTTCAAGCTTTCGCGCGTGCCATGCACAGGTCATGTCAAACTTTGCAAGTGCCAGGAATCCAGGGCAAGGGCAATGCACATCCGGACATCCGGAATGGTAAATGTTAGAAGCGGTCCCAACCATATAGACCGGCAAGATATCAAGAGAAAGAGAGGGAGAGAAATGGAATAGAGATTAGAGAGAGGGAAAAAATATACACACACATGGATGTATAGGTATACACCAAACAGAACGGCTCCGCACTCATGGCCCGCAGCCTCTGTCAAAGGAAATCTAGAAGTCTATGCTTTCGTGTTATGGAGCTTTGAAAGTCACTGCAATGATTTTCCCTGCAGCGACCGTCGCTGCAATGAAAGTCACAGCAATGATCGCCGCTGCAGCCCAGTCATCTATTATTAACAGACAACTGTATAATTTTTTCATCTTGTTTCTTTTCTGATATTCTATGACTTTATGTTGTGTGTCAATGATGTGAGTTAATGCTTCTGGATTATATTCATCAAATAAATACTGTTCTTTTTTATTATCTACTTTCAGTTCTTTCTCAACATATTTTATAATTTCTTTGTAAGCTTTATCAATGTGAGCTGTCGGTGAGACAATGTATATTCTTTCAAAGCAGTCTCTATAAATTTTTAATACAAGATTTTGTATAAGGATACCTTTACCACCTTGTGAAGCTGAAACAATAATACTTCTAAAGGTAGCTTGTCAGCTTGTGGGTATGGTGATTGTTTGAACTCATATTGTTTTACATTAATAGGTTCTATTGTTGGAGGTAATAAATCTTTCATTAATAACATTTAGAAATTTAGTTATATAATATAATATTGATATTCATCATTGGAACAGCTCTACTGGGGTAGTGTAATATCAATCCTCATAGGCAGTAATTAGTTTGATGCATAACGCCCTCCCTCTGTGCATTTTTTCTCGTCTTCCCACATTTTAACATAATTAGATTTTATGTATTGTAATATCTAATTATTAATAATATGCAACCCAAAAAGGTTAATAAATTAAAATATCCTATTCCTGAAGATTTTGAATTATCAGATGATGAACCTAAAATGATTAATTTAAGTAAAGAACAAAAATTAACAAGGAAAAATAATATATTTGATTGTCCATTATGTTGTGGAAAATTACAGTTGAGAAATGAAATAGAAATAAACCCCAAAGGCATAACCTGTCGTTGTAATCCGTGTAGTTTCAAACTGACTAAAAATGATAAGACTATGAATGTCAGTAAGGATGATGAAGGGGGGATTACATTGGATAGCCAAGACCACAGCATCTCGTTTGCTTTCAATCGAATTACTACTCCTCCAACAGAAGATGAAAGATATAGAAATGTTCTGATAAAAGATGTTATGAATACACCACGGAACAGCAAAAAAACAGATGATGTCTGAAATGGATTGAAACGAAACCATTTAAAGAGTAGTTTTTCTATCAACTCCAACTCATAAATAAATAATTATATAAATTAATTTCTAAATAAATGAATAAATAGTAATGTCAAGTGGAGATGAGAGCAAGACTGAAATGAAAGAGTTGATGGATAAATTCAACAAATACGCTAAACAGGTGAAACTGGTTTGGCAAAACTTGAAGAAATTGACAAGAAAGTAGGACAAAACTATTACTATTTAGATGATGATAAGAGGGGTTATTTACGCCACGAATTGTGAAAGGTGTAAGGCTTGTTCATGCTGATGTGTTGTTGCTTCCAGTGCTTGCCATCACTGTCGTTAAGGCTCAACAATATCAAACTGCACTGCGCTGATGCTTCAAGTAAGATCAGATTCAAAGTCAGGAGGAGTAAGAGCTGTTGCAGGAATACGAGCTGTTGCCTTTCAAGACTTTTGTTGTAGCAATGGTTGCCTTGCGCAATGCTCGTGTTCGGTGCTATGTCCTTCTTTGCCATTTCTTCTGCTTTTGGCATTTCGCAGCGCGAGCCTTACAGTTCTCTGCCCTGCCGCCGAATACAAAGATGTTGAAGGACGTGGAGCACAATGAGGTGCCAAGCTGGATTCGTGAGCAAATGTGTGATTTGGAGTATGATGAAGACATCGCCAACAAGGTGGTAGATGCACTTTCCGGGTACAGGCGCAAAGGTCTCATGGAAGTTTCCGAGGAGAATTTGCGTAAAGCGCTAGCCAATGAGTTTTCCGCCAGTGCTGACTGTATTGCCATAGCCCAGAGCCTTTACAACCGCATTCAGAAGGGCATTGCCGAACCACAACCCGTTTCTTGGCAAAGATTAGTTTTAGTCGTAGCCCGAGTTCGTTGTGTTTGTTTCTCGTTGATGTGAGACAGCGTTTATGTTTCTGTGGCTGCTTTGCTTGGTTTCAGGTTCAGAGCGATGTTCCCGAGAATGTCAAGGCCTTCGCACGAGCTTTGTATGATGCAAAGCTAAAAGGGCAAATTCTCAGAACGGAAACGGGCAGTTTCAAGTTGCAAAACGTTTCTGAAATTTGGGACGAGAAGCAGTTCTACGTGCGGGACTGCTACACAGAAATTGCAGACATCATGTTGAAGAACTAGACGACGGTTGGCCCGAGAGCGAAAAAGACGTTTTTCAAGCAGCTCTGAGTATGGTAGTC